TTCCTCGTGGAATCTGGCCTTTTCACACAGTATGTTTATAACACTATGATTCCACTTTAACTGTATGGCATCCTGGGATTTAGGATGGAGTACATTCAGCCTTCCATGTCCACGGATTCAGCAATCCAAGGCTTGTAAATACAATCAGCCCTCCATATCCACAGAATTTTTAATTGACGGATTCAAGCATCCACAATTTGTAAATATTTTAAAAATATATACATTCCAAAAATCAAACCTTAATTTTGTCATTTTATGTAAGGGAACACCATCTTACTGTTCCATTGTATTTAATGGGACTTGAGTACCCATGGATGTTGGTTTTCACAAGGGTCTTGGAACCAAACCCCAATGGATACCAAGGGACCACTGTATTTAAAATATATATGCTAAATTCCAAAAAGCAAACCATGATTTTTCCATTTTATATAAAGGTCCCCATTTAATTGTGCCATTGCCTTTAATGGGACTTGAGCATCCACAGATTTTGGTATCCACGGGGGGTCCTGGAACCAAACCCCAGTGGATACCAAGATCCCATAGTATTTAAAATTATCATACGCTCTAGTGCCTCCCCAAACTACAAATACCAGGATTTGGCCAAGAATTATAAATGCCATGTCCTAAAGTGCCAATCCCAAGATTTTATAGAATGTTGCCCTGTGAGTTAAAGTGGAATCATAGCGCTATAATTGCATCATGAGAAAGGTCCCTTTGTCTAAAAACCACATTCGGATCCTTATGCCTCTGCATTCTCTTTTCTCCTATTTCAAAGTTTCCAACTTTCCTTGTTATACCAGATTGGGAGATTTGGTTTCTGTTCGTATCTCAGGCTTTATTTATCGTGACAATCTGAAATGGTGTAAGCGTGATAACTCATAAAACTTTGGGGGGAGAGCATTCCAGAAGTGGAGTCTACCTACCAAAAGGGCCCTCTGTTTGGTCACTACCTCCAACTATATCTGAAAGCAGCAGTGTCTGTGCATACACCTCCGTATTGATAATTTTCAGTGGATGGGCAGGTTCATTTGGGAACAAGAGATCAATTGATGCTCTTTTTGGTTGTTATCCCTCTAGAGTTCTTGGACTAGGGTGGGTTATACAGCGAAAAGAACAGATTTCACATAGAGTTTGCAAATGTCACTTTTTTGGATGACAAGTCTCAGAATCTGGGGATTCTGGAACTTGTAGTCCAAAAAAGTCCCCCAGTCATCATCCTTGCATCATTGCCAAGACTCTGGCATGGCTATCAAAGGCTCAGTGATTCTTCAAGCACTATGTCTTTATTAACTTCTTTCCCTTCCCTTCCCTTCTTTCCTCTTTCTCAGGAACGGTACGAAGCTGCCATCCAGCGCTCCGCAAAGAAAACCTGGGCCGAAATCCGGCAGCAGCGGTGGTCATGGGCTGGTGCATTACACCAGGGCTCCCCTGTTCACAAGGATGGTGAGTGGAAACCATCTGGGTGGAAATTCTCTCTTGCATACTCTGGGGGACTGTGGGAAGGCTCATGCAGGCCAGCACAAGCTTGGCATTTATCCATGGGGTAGAGGGTTGGCATGGCAGTGGCCCTCAAGATGCTTTTGCACGCGCATGTGCCTGAATACGAAAGGGACCTTTGCACTATAATCAGAGATCAATGCTCTTTATTTTATTTTGCATGGGAACAGCTGGCTTTTGCTTTGTACATTTTGATGGGGCACATCCTCCAGTTTCAGTGCATCACTGGTCACCAGATGTTCTCACATGATAATGGTTCAAGTGGGCCCTTCCCATCCATGGGGCTTTGGTTCCAGGGACCCCCAGAGATGGGGGGGGGGGGGAAACATGAATGTTTAAACCCCATATTAGTCAATGGATGGTGATGTCTATGTGCCTGCATCGCACCGCCATTGACTAATATGGGTCAGGGTGATCTGCCAATACTCAGAGCTGTGGATAGCTATCCTACTGATATGGCTGGCCCAGTATATCCCAATAATAATAATAATAATAATAATAATAATAATAATAATAATAATAATAATAATAAATTATTTATATTTCCCGCCTCTCCCTACGGATCGAGGTGGGAGTACAAAAATAAAATGTACAAAGTGTACAGTAGTACAGTCAATAAAAAAGAAAACATAGTAATAAAACCCTTGGTCTCTTTGCCTTGATGGGGACTAAATGAAATCTCTACAGTCTGAAGAACTGTACTGTTTGAGTATCAGACATCAAAAATGAGCCATAAATGAAGGTAGTTGCCTTAAGCCACACACATAACACCAGCCACTGATAAACTGTTGGAAACAGAGGGTGGCATCCTATTAGTTATGGCATACATGCAGGCAAGTATGGTTTACGTGTGCATATGCCTCTTTTTGGATGGGATGCTGGGGGCTATTCTGTAGCCCTAGCACTGTGTCCAAAGCCTTTCCCAAACAACTGTCAGGTCCCAGGAAGGGGAGCAACTGGGAAGGCGAGGGAGGAAAGAGCCATTGAAAATATGGCTGGTCTGGGCTCCAAGGGGAGAAAAAAGTAGAGTATACTCCATCTGTGAGTGCATCTTCATTTCCTTTCCCCTCCAAGCTGAGACCAGCTGCTTCTTCACTGTGCAGTTTGCCTCTCCTCTTCCTCTTTTTCTCACCAGTAAACAGCACCAGTAACCACTGCTGGGACTTGACAGTTGCCAGGACAGAATACAGAAATGGTTGAGTAGAGCACTTCACTCCGCCTGTTCGATGTAGGATCTCAGCCAGATGGTTGTACTAGATAGACCTTTGCTTTGATCCAGCAGGGCTGTTCTTACGTTCTTATATACATCGGTTTTATAGGAACACAAGTAGCTGCCTTATTCTGTAGGAACTTAGGTAGCTACCTTATACCTTTGGCCAGTGTGACCCAGTATTGCCAGCTCTGACCAGCACCAATGGCACTCCAAGCTTGCAGGCAGGGTTCTTCTCCTAGCCCTGCCTTAAGATTCACGATCCACATATTCATCAGGCCCCATACTGCTTAGCTTCTAAAAGCAGACAAGGTTGGGCACATTCAAGGCTATATGATAATTCCAGCCAAGACTCGGAGGCAGAGAGAGAGAGAGAGAGACTTGCCTAAAGCAAACATGAAGGAGTTCATAGCAGGGGTAAGATTTGTTCCCGGGACATCCTGACTCATGGCTCATTCTCCTCTTAGTCACTAGGCTGCATCAGTTTTCAGGGAGGGTCTATTGCACAGAAGTTCTCTGTCTGTTCAAGAACTGAAGACTGTCCTCCCACATCCCATGTTTTCCCTTTGTTATAAATGACAGAGTAGGATTTCTTCTGTTTGGTTCAATTCCCCTTAGAATCCTCCATTCAAGAATGGCCCCAGGTTGCCCAAACACTGTGTAGTTTTCCCAAAAGGCCATAACTTTTCTGATAC